CAGTAATGTATAACAGGCTGCTTTTCACCAGGGAGTAGTTATTGTCTTGAAAATGAGATACATTAAAACATTTCAGGATTCATATACAACTCAAAATTGTTCTGTATTGAGCCTATGAGTTCAATAGACACAAGGGGTTAGGGGCCTGCTGTGTTCCTGACAGTGTTTTGGTGGTGGAAATATTCAACTAGTTTTTCAGAATTCCTCAGGGATAGCAGGTGAGCAGCTCTATAATGAAATTGCACCATAAATGTTTCGTGAAAAACAAAAGGCTCTGGTAAAATTGCTAAAGGGCATCTCTAAGAACCATGAGAGGGGTTGGCACAGAAGTTAAGCATTTGGCAGGGTGCTGCTTAGATGCTAAGTTACAGGCATAGAGAGTAAATGTGTGGCCTCTGGTGTCTTGGGAGAGGGTCGTGGATGAGCCTGTGTGTGAGCACCAGTGGGTGTGTCCTGGAGAGGGAGATGTGCCTGCTGGAGGTAAGGAAGGGAGAAGGTTCTTACAAGCCCCCTGCTGTGACTCAGGGCTGACCATGAGAAGGGGATGGAAGGAATATATAAGGAATGTAAGGATAACGACAAAACTGCTAGAATAACTCTCTGGAGCCCTGAGGACATGTAAGGTAAGTGCAAATAAGTACAACCAACGGCTGTACAAACTGGTACATTTGCATGCAAATCAGGGAGAAGTTGCCAAAAGATGCATCTTCTGACAACAGATAGACATAAGGTGAGTTTCATTTCATACTAAAAGCTATATTAAAAGCAGGGAGAGAATTGTTACTGTTTTAATTTACAGGTACAACACTGCCTTAGACAGACCAAGCAGTTTGCTTCAAGTCACTGTGTAGGTGTTAATGGGTGGAACCAGGATCCAAATTCCTCTTTCTAACTCCAAATGCACCCCTGTTATCTCAAGCCTGTCAACATTACCACCGGATGGGGCAGGGCAGTGGCCTGGAGGAATGGGATTTAGAACTTGGGACGTTGGGACGCTGAGTTGACTTTGGAATTTAGACTTTATAATTCCCACTGCTGTTCCTTCTCCTTCTTTTCAGTGAAGTGAGCAATTTCTTTGGCTTTGGCTTCATGAATAGAGATGGAAAATTTGACTATTGAATGGAATGATACAAAATGCCAGATGCTATATTTGAGCAGACCTTCTCTGGGGAAATAAATTACATATTAAAATACAAACTCAAGCCTCAAAGAGACCACAGCAGTTCTACAGAAAATATTTCATACACACACACACACACACACACACACATAGACACAAAGGATTCATAACAAAGCTTTCATATTCAGTCAGGATACAGGCAGAATAGCTTAGATGTGGATGGTCTCTGTGGAAATGAACTTGAACCAAACAGTCCACTGCTGTGCTATTGGTGCCCTGCAATGGTAGAATGAAATCCTTTTGAGATTATGGGCCAATATGAATCTCCTTCCATGTCCCCCCCCTCCCCGCAACTCCCGGTCAGGTATTTTGGTTACAGAAACACAAAAATAACTGATAATGCACTGGGTTACTTAAATTTGTCTGAAATAGTATTATGGAAGATTCAAATTAGAAGAAACATTGAGGAACATGAGTATGAATTCTCTTACTGTGGGAGTGGAAGCAATGAAGACAATGCAATAGACATTAACCTAGAATTTGTAAAGCAATTTAAAAAGCCATAGAGAAGGATAATGAGGCAATTCCTGTTCTATATTTAGGTCACAAGTATACATCAAGGAAAGACATGTTACACATGGAATAATGCCAGCATTTGAGAGTCAGTGCAGCAAAACAGCAGTCCAGCATTTCCATCTAACAGGAGCAACTGAACTAACACTAGTTAGAAAGGGGCTCCACAAATTTAACAGTGGGGAATGCCCAGTGAAAAACCTACAGAAGGAGCCCAAGCAATGTATCAGCAAGTTCTGTTTTATTTTATCTGTTCTGCTCTTTGTGTATTTCTTAGTCCTGTTCTGTACATGTGGGATTTTGGCCCCTACATTGTTGCTAATCTGCCTGCAAGTAATTTCAATAGAGAACAATCTTTAATGGGGTACGAACAATTGGGTGGTATTTTGTTACACATATTCCTACTGCCCTGCCTTTCAAAGCAAAGAGTGCATTGCAATTTAATGTAACTAGAGAAGTTAATGTTTAATAAAAACAGCCTGAGTCCTTTTGTGTTTAAAGGGTTTCCATATCACGTCTTCAGAAATGAAGTTGCAGTCATGAGCAATTGTGTCTTAGGATAACACAACTTTATTTGATACTTGTTCGGTTGCTTTTTTTGTGAAGCTTTTCTGGCCAATTTTTTTTTTTTTTTAATGGAATGAGGACAAAAGTGTTTTTAGCTGACTCGAGACTTACTTAATTTTCTTTATTGAGAGATACCTGAATGTCAAAGGTGTAGTCATATTTTCCCATTTGCTCCATAGCAGTGAAAAATACTTAAGCTATTTACTTTAAAAGTCTGACAAATACATGTTTAAAAAATTGGATATATTTATTTTTATGTGTTTTACATATATGTGCGTGTGCCACAGGCATGCCTGGCACCCTCAAAGGTTAAAAGAGGGGTTCTCAGCCCCTGGAGTTATGGCTGGTTGTGAACTACCATGTGGGTTCTGGGAACTGAACCCAGGCCCTCTGCAAAAGCAACAAGTGTTCTTAACAGCTGAGCCGTCTCTCTAGCCCCTGACAAATATAAGGTTTAAAATACCTTAAAGACTATGAACATATTAGACATATTATATGCTTCTGTGTATGTATAGTGCACATTTGTTTGCCTATATCTCTGAGCATGCACATATGTGGATATGTGTCTCTTTTTTCATGTGTTTAATGTGATCCATGGTTTCTACATCTCTTTTCAGCATTACATACATAATGGTACCATATTAACCTTTCATAAAGCATCGTAAAATTAGGGCATTTAGTCATAAACTTTCTAGGAGGTGATATTTTATGAGGCAGAATTGCAAAGTATTATTTGAGGGATCCACTAATAATCCTAATAATTGTTTGTAATATAAATCTGCAAATAATTTTAAGGGCAGGGAATTTACTTTGTAGTCACTACTTGAATACATTTTCAAAATGTAGGTCACCTTTATACACTGTATCATCTAATTTAATCTATAAGTTAGACAAACATACTGTTTTCATACACTGAGAGACACCCTAGAAGCAGAATGGAAACTATATCATCAAAATAACCAAACTATGGGTTTTATGCAAAGGCAAATGATTATAACACACACACACACACACACACACACACACACACACACACACACACACATATATATTAAACCCCTTAGTTTGTGGAGAGTATTGGGTGTGTACCAAAATATAGTGCTGTGAAAACCATCAACATTCTAACGTTTTTATAATTGTTGTAATTAATAATTATTTTTAATCAATTAATAATTTATAATTAATAGGTCAAATGACTTATTTAAGTTAACTAACATCTTATGAGCAAGGACAAAGTTAGGAATTCTGAATGTACCATGTTATAAAAATTCTGAATCATAGCTTTAAATTAAACCTCTGTTTTATATTTTACCCAATATGTATGGCTATTTTTACTCTGTATTTTCATTAAACTGTTATGCTTCCTGACCTTCTTTTAAAGCAAGATAATTTTCTGGCTACCTCTCACAGTTTGAGCTTATAATTCAATATAAACATACACACACATTAAGATTACTTGTGTGTGTGTGTGTGTGTGTGTGTGTGTGTGTGTGTGTGATTTTAAAGTAATCTTACTTCTAGCATTGGCCAGTCCCTAACTCTTAACAAACTACGGTTACACTATTGACTACTATTTTAAAAACTACCTTAGAAATTAACAAAACAAATGTGTGTTATGTCAAGATGCTGTCGGCTGTTTCATCTGGGTAGGTGTATTGTCATTGTCCAGCATCACTTTGGGGATTCATTTAGCTCAGAGAATTAGGTGTGGCCGTGTTAGCTTTCTGTCAGGGCATACAGTTCCTGAGATTATCAACTCAAAGGAGGAGTGATTTATTTTAGCTCAGAGTTATGTAGGTTTGTATCCAGGTTGGTTAGATTGATTCAGCTTTTGGGCCAGTGTCAAGGCAGGACCTCAAGGCAGGAGCTGGCCAGGAGAAATACTTTAACACATAAAAATATGTTTATATTAAATTATAAGCTCAAAAACCTGCAGGAAGCTACTGCTGTCACAGTGTCAGAGAAGAAGAAAGAAAGAAAGAAAGAAAGAAAGAAAGAAAGAAAGAAAGAAAGAAAGAAAGAAAGTAAGTAAGAAAGAAAGAAAGAAAGAAAGAAAGAAAGAAAGAAAGAAAGGAAGAAAGAAAGGAAGGAAGGAAGGAAGGAAGAAAGAAAATGGTTGGGTTCCCAATGACCCTTAGCAAGCTAACTTCCTCACCTAGACCTTACTTTTTACAGAGCCACCAGTATCACAGACTGGCAACCAAGACTTTAGCACATGGTTCTGGGGACACTAACCCAAACCAGAACAGGTTGGAATGCAAGATACATCACACTCACCGTAGTTCATGCCTTATTGGGGGTTACTGCTCTGATTTGGAGATATTTACCCTCCTTCCCCACACGGTAGTCTCTCACTCAGTACCCTGGATTGAGTTACTTTATGGTGCCTGGAATCTTTGATGGCCATATTTATATAAAATCTATTCTTCTAAATACACAAGAATGATTCCAAATGGCTTATTTCAGTTAACTAACATCCTGAGGCTTTTTAATAAGTTTTATGTTTAAAATAATGTGATGGACCCTTTATAATTACAGATAACAGTTTTATCTCAAACCACACACCCATTGAATTGAGGATGAATGTCTTTTCTTTTCTTTTCTGTTTCTTTTTCTGTTTTGTCTTTTGAGACAGGGTTTCTCTGTGAAGCCTTGGCAGGCTTGGCCTTGAACTCACAGCGATCTGCCTGCCTCTGCTTTCCAGAGTGCTGGGACTAAAGCTGTGCACCACTATACTAACCTTGAATCATCATCTTCTTCTTCTTCTTCTTCTTCTTCTTCTTCTTCTTCTTCTTCTTCTTCTTCTTCTTCTTCTTCTTCTTCCTCTTTCCTTCCTTCTTCTTTTCCTCCTCCTTCTCCTTCTTCTTTTCTGAGATAGAGTGTCTTTGTAGTCTTGGCTGTACTGGAGCTCACTATGTAAAGCAGTGTGGTTCTATTCTTTGATTCCTCCCTCAGGGCATTCAGGCACCACTGTATGGGGAAGATAAGGCAGAGCCTGAAGATAAGGTGGAGTGAGTTTGAAGGATCTAGTCTGGACAGCAGGACTGTGGGGAGAAGTCCTTCTCCCACAGTTTTCAGTTGGTAGAAGTCTCCATTCTGGAGGGGAGGGAGAAGTCCTTCCCTGTAGTTTTCAGTGTTACAGCTCTTATGAGCAATAGTAGCCCTGGGGTGACTTCCCTCCTTTGCAGTGTCCATGCACTTGAGGAAGAAAGGAAGCCTAGCTGGGTGGGTCTGAGGGTTCAGGTCTATGGGTGAATGCCTGGAGAGAGAAAGCCCTCTCTGGAGCAGCTCTCCAAGTGTTACAACCTTTTAGCTCAGATGCAGCAACTCTCAGATGCTAGCTGGTGAAACAGCTTGAGCCAGTATAAACCTTGGAGGAGTGGGAAGGGATTCCAGGGTGGGAGCATATCATTGGTTGGAGCTGGGGTGTTGGTGATGCTTTATTTGCACGGAGAGGAATTCTTCGTGCCAGGCTATGTGAATACTCCAAAAATTGCAGACATAGGGGATCGAGACTATGTGCGCCAGGGCATGCTGGGACAGAACTGGGAGGGAGAGTTCTGCCAATCTCAAGACAGAGATTCCTAGGGTTTGGATACATCTCCAATGTGTTCTAACTCCATGCCAGATTCCCTGGTGACACGGTCCACAGGCCCCACAAACCAGGCTGGCCTTGAACTCACAGAAATTCCCCTCTCTCTGCCTCTCAAGTGTTGAGATTAAAGATATGTGCTACCATGCCCGGCCCAAGAATAGTCTTCTTAAGCGAGCCAAAGAGAGGGACTCTGAAGTTACTCATATGGGTTGCAGCTTGGCCCTGTGAGGTCTGAGCAGTCTGACTCCGGGCATAGTTTCCTTCTACTGCCTCCTCCCTGCTCTGTATTTATAGGATTAAATGAATAAGCAGATGCAGTGTGTGCTGGCACATAGTAAGCGCACATGCCCCATGAGCTCTAGAACAAAAGTGATGATTGCCTGTCGTTATAACACACGTAACGCCCTGTTGATTAGCACCTCCCAGAGCTGTAAATTTCCCTGCACTCCCCTTAGCTGTGACCACTAATCCTGAGCTCTGCTCTCATCTCCCTACCCTAGAGAAACAAAACATAGGAAGTTAGCCTGACTTATCCACAAAACAGGCTAAGTGACATTTCATTCTAAAGAAGTGATTTATTGACTTAAAAAAAATCACCATCTGTACATTTTAACACAAAACATATACACAGGCACATGGATTCTTACACACTGTAGGCAGCACGTTTTGGGAATAGTTTGGTTCTATTCTATTCAAAGAATCAAAACAAAACAATGTTGTTGTGAATCATTTATTAAATTCATTGGTGACCAAAGAAAGGATTCTGAGCTATATTGTATATTATTATTATTGTATATTATTGTATGTTGGGAATAGGAGATCAAACAGACTTTAGGAGCAAGTATTGCATGTGACAAATATAGTTTCCTAACTATATTTAGGAATATAGTCTGTTAAGTTAGAGAGGAAAAAGCTCATTCCCAAACAGGAACTTATCTTCCTGCTCAAGAGGCTTCATAAATTCTCTTAGTGGGATACAGGAAGTAGAGGGCAGGCATGTATACATTAAGTGTTATGGCTTTTTGATACTGTAAAAACCAATTGCTTTTTGTTTGTGGCTGGGGGAATTGGATGGAAATCCAAATTTACAACTTAAATTTTCAGCAGGCGATTTAGAAATAACTTTTATGTCTTGGTTCATTAATTCATTAAAGTAATATATAGATTCCTGCTTAGAGTAAACATGAGGACACATACATTAAGGGAGTGGTGCTTTGAATGAGAATGCCTCTGTCCTTCATGGGTTTATATATTTGAATGTTTAGTTGTTAGTTAGCGGAACTGTTTAAGAAGGACTGGGAGGTGTGGCTTTGTTGGAGGAGGTGAGCCACTAGAGGTGGGCTTTGAGGTTTCAAAAGCCAAAGCCAGCCCAGCAGTGTCTACTGCTTTCCGTCTGCTGTCTGTGGATGAGGGTGTAAAGCTCCCAGCTACTGCTCCAGCAGCATGCCTGTCTACTTCTCACCAGGATGATCATCCACTATCGCTGGTACCATAACAAAGCCCCCAACTAAATGCTAAACAAACAAACAAACAAACAAACAAAGAAACACCCCATGAGAATTGACTTGGTCATAGAGTTTCTTCGCAGTAACTAAGTAACGAAGGCAAGTAACTATGATAAAGGTCTGGAAAAGTGTTGGACCTTCAGAAGGTGCTCGGCTGTTTGCTGTTTCATTGCCTTTCCTGGTCAGAAGCATCAGAATTCATAGTTCTTTTCTAGGTTGTGTGTTTTATGTTTTTGGAGGAAAGCTGAAATTTGTTAACCTAATTGCTATAGTACAAACTTCATTATAATTTAATTTTTACTCCCATAATTTATCCCGATTTCCAAAGAAATAAGTTAATAGTTGCTAATTATTCAGGTACGGATTTGAAACTAGGAATATTATTGTATACTTAGATTGTGTATACGAAAACTTGTGTTCCTTTCCCAGTTACCCCTACAGTCTTGCAAAAGAACATTTGTCGTATTGGTGATAATTTGTAAAAAGAAATTGCATGCAACATGCAAGCAGTAACCTTCCTCTTGGATAGATCATTCAGGGTTGCAGGATTTGATATGCCTATAGGATGTTTGTGATCAGTTACCTAGTTTCCAGGAGTCAAGAGAAGATTCCCTATGATCCTAGTCTGATCCAAGTCTATAATGGGGCTGGGCATTTCAAACTGCCGCGGGAAAGGTTGAGATTCTGTGACTGAAGGGCGGAGGCGCTGACTCACCTCTCCTCCTCCCCGGGTGCCACTCGGCTTCTCGCGGCGGCCGCTGCAGCTCCCACGTGGCAGGTCCAGACTGAGCCACGCGGGGCTGGAGTGGCAGAGGGGACCCTGGAGCTGCGCCGCTGCGGCCCTTCCTCCCCGCACCCCCGCGTCGGCTCGGTCCTCCACCGCCAGGGGGCGTGCGCGGCTCCGCGGCGGCCCGGCCCATCGGCCCCGGCGGGAAGCGTGGGGAGGAGGCTCGGCGCGAGCTGGCTTCCTCCACGGCGCGGGCGGGCGCGAGCGGACGGGGGAGCCGGGGGAAGGCGGGGCGCGGTCGGCGCGATCGGGAGGCGGCGGAGGCTGCCGTCGGCCTCCGGCAGGACTGACGGCCGCAGGCGGGTGAGGCTCGGGCGGGCGGCGGGGCTGGGCGCGGCTGGGCGCGTGGAGGCGGGCGCGGGGCTGCACGCCGGCTGCCTGGCACCCCGACCCGGGGCGCGGCTGCAGCGGGGCCCGGCCGTGCGGAGCATCGCGGCCCGCATAGCGGCGTCTGCGCCTGGCGCCGGGTCGGGCTGCACCCGGGCGCCGGTTTGCCCCTGGCGGTCGGAATCCCGCGGGCTGAGCGCTCCCAGGGAACAGGAAGGGATGGACCGGCATGCTGGACTTGAACTCCGTGCAGGGCCGCCTTGACTCACTCCCGAAGTTTAGGTCTCCGCCAAAGTGGAGCTGCTTTCTGCTTGGGCAGGCTAACACGTAGGTGTCTTTGATGAGCGCTGCCTTTTTTTTTTTTTTTTTCCTGCTGTGTTCACAGCTGTAGTATGTATGATGATGGCCAGTGCTTGTACCTGAATAATGAGTGACAGATGGAGGATTTGAGATGTATCAGGCTGTACCTTGTGGGAAGTCATCAGCTCCAATTTACATAATTACTTCCTATAATGCTGAACTATCACCTAACAGAACTTTTGCCCTGTTTCTTTTTAGGCACAAACAAATGGATACAAAGTCACGAATTTGCACCTTTGCTACCTCACATACAGTTTCCCAGTATTTTCAAGAGCATATTTATTTTTCACAACTTCTCACATGTGTCCTATTACAATTTCTCATACTTTACGGATTAAAATATGAATTTCGCGAGCTATTGTGTTAAATTAGGTGGTAAAGGCAGATTCCCGGGCCTGTGCCATCCTGGAAGGACCAGTGATAGACTGTTACATTTTCCAAGTCTTTGGAAACATTGTTACTCAAACAGTGACACAGGGAGATCTCCATTTAATGCAGAAAATAAAGTTAATGACTTTTCCGATGCCACTGAACAGGAAAGCGGCAGAATGGTTCCTCTGGACTTACTTGCTTAAGCCTATTTCTGGAGGTTGCTAGTTGGGTGATTTCTCAGGCAGTTTACTAGGTTTTGTTTTTAGTTTTGTGCACGTGATTAGGTTTGTTTCATAGGTTCTTAAAAGGTGTTCTCTACTTATTAAAAACAAACAGCTGATGACTTCCCGAAAGTTACAGCTAGACAAAGCGATCTCAAACCGTCCATACGTCACTCGTTATTTGGTATAAGAGCACGGAACATCACATCTATGGCTGTGAACACAGCAGAAAAAAAAATTATAAAATTCTTTTTTTGTAGGAAAATAATAATAATAATAAAAAGGGCAAGATAAAAATTCCTTTAGTCAGTGACATTCTGTGTCTCCGTGGTTTTGGAGAAGGGAGGCCACAGAATGATGGAATTATGTAGACCGGAGTGACAGGCACAAACTCTCAGTGTCACAGTCTCTGTTTTGGTCCCTCCTTTGGTCAGGCTGTTGAGCATCTTGTGTGCTAGTCAGATTGTTGCATGAGCATCCTCAGCAGGCGGCTCCTGGTGACTTTCATCACAGCACCTCCAGGCTCCTTAGGGCAGTGCTGTGGGATCAGCTGTGCTAACTAATGGCACCCAGGCTTACCTGTAATTAGGGCTCTCGGAGTCAGTTTTGAAGGCCATTGGATAATAAAAATAGGAGCTTGTAAAATTGTTTGGCTGATAAAAATTTACCTTAGTGGCTTCTTTCTGGTCTCTGCCACAGGCTGCTGACCCGCTTCCTCAGGGGTGGTTTGGCTGCTGAAATCTGGGAACCTTGGTGTGCTTCAGTTTTACATTTGACCTAAACTATAACTGAAATGCCTGCCGGTGCAGAGGAATCCTGAAACATGAGATTAAAAAAGCTGCAATTCCTTATCAAGTGTAATGTAAAGTAGTTACAGGAAATGAAGATTCCACCACACTGGGTGTAAATTTATGCCTCCCTTTCTTCTTTGTTTTCTTTCTTAAAAATGAAACAAAACAAAACACCAACAATGTTTAATAAGCTGAAATGTGGATGCCCTATTTTGTTCCTCCTGCAGTTTAAATGTGTATTTTGTTTTTGTTGTTCTTTTTAAACGAAGCTTACTTTTATCTTCCTTTCTTTTTGTATGCAGGAGGTGGGGCGAATGTCCAGGCTACAACACATATGTGAGGATCAGGGGACGCCTTGTAGGTGTTTGTTTTCTCTGTGGGAGTTGAATTTAGGATGTCAGACTTGTCAGCACAATTACCTGCTTAACCATCTTGTCAGCCTTTGTCATTTTACTTGATATTTGTCTGTCTATCTTTCCCCTAATAGTATACAGTAGGATTAAGGTATTTAAACAGCTGTAGAATTCTAAAGGAGCAAGCAAAACTAAATGTCATTTTTTTTAGGCTCCTGTACTGTTACTGTTCTGGGTTCCAGAAAGCGAATCAGCCATTTCAAATGGCTACTAGATTTTTAAACAAAATTCTACTTTGAGAAAGAGAAGATCTGTAAGAGAACATATGAACACTTTAAGTTAGAGTAGTCAGTTTTATTGCAAACAGAAGTTCTTTTTCTTTTCCTCACTCTAGTCTCCAGATTTACTGCCTGGCCCTCCCTCTCCACCTGGCAAACCTGGCCCCAGGACAGCCAGCCTCATTTCCATTAGAAAAGAGTAAAAATTCCTATCATGTGAATCATACTTTGGGGATTTTATTTTGTCTTAGCTCTGCCTTGATTTTCACTTTTCTTTTCCTTTCTTAAACTTTTTCTCTGTGTGTGTTGATGTGCTGTAATCCTGAAGCTCTCAGCTCTAAGCCCAAGAGAGAATCATCCCCAAGAGCTTGTTAAAGATGTAGGGTTTTAATGCCTGCTCCAGGGTTCTGATCCCACAGGGCTGCAGAAGCAGAGAAATTTGCTTGTTAAAAGGCACACTAGCAATTCTGACCTCCCTGGTGTGGGCAACACCTTCCTGGGGCCTTCAGAGGCTTGATAGCACGTGTCCCTGAATCCTTGGCCCTATTTTACTAGAAATCATGTGTGTGGAAGCCTCTCTGTGTAGACTGTTAATGGGAACAGCATTGTGTTTCTTAAGATTAACAATATAAGTTTTTAGGCGTCTATTGTTTTAGGGCTACCCTTGTAATATTCCTGTGGGTTATTATGAGGGTTAGGATGTAATATAAAAAAGCAGCTGGGGAGATCACTCAGTCTGTGAAATGCTCACCAGAGCATCTCCGGGGCTCCCTGCTTCGTCAATCTAGCCTAATGAGTACTCTCCAGTTTCCATGAGAGACCACCAAGAGATTAACCAAAGAAGACACCTAACAGTGACACACACATGCATGCATCATGCATACCCTCCCACACAACACATGCACACACCCACACAAACATGTACACCCGAAAATACCACACACACATACACCACATACACACACACACACACACACACACAGTAATTGTATTAATATTTCTTCAGGTGTGCAACCCTGTGTAAACTATTTGTAAGCGTTTATGAAAGGTGCCCTTGCCTGACAACTGCTTGTGATAAAGACTATGCTGGTGGCTGAGCTCTTAATGTACCTCAGGATTGAGGTATCACTCACCGTAGTCTGGTTACCCTGCATATGAGCTTCCTTGCCGATGGGGAAGGTAGCTTAGGTATAGTTGAGGTTGAAGGAAGAGGCTGCTTTCTTTTCAATCCCGTAAGTGTTTTGTTGGAAAACATGGTTTGTATGCATGGAGAGCCACTGGCATATTTCAGTAACTGGCTAGCTCTCGCACATGCCTGAGAGGAGGACACCACTCTGCGTCTCTTTCTGGTTTTCACAGTGTCCAGAGTTCTGCTGTGAGGTTGCCAACTCTGAGCTCTCTGATGTTGCAATACTGCCCTCAGAATGTCTGTCAGGCTTTGGGGCAAAGTTGACCTAAGCTGGGCCCCTCCCCTAACCTGTTTTGAAGCAGAGACAGTGGGTGCTATGGCTACGTTTGCCAGTGTCAGAGAAGAGAGCTTTCTTCAGGCTGCTGCTGATCAGATAACAGGTTTCTGAACTGTTCTTCCCCGTTGCCAACCAGGAAGAGCAGTGGAGAGATAAGGTTTAAGGACAGTTCATGGAGTTCGCGTGGAGGCTTCAGAATTGCTGCGATGGAGTTTGCCTCATCTCCTGCACTGCACAGACAGTCTGGGTGAAGTAAGGAACGCTGTGGTCCGCTTAACCACTTACAGATGTTAATCACCTTCTTTCAATAAATTTTCATTTTGTGCTACTGAAGACAAACAAGAAAAGCCATGAGGTGTTGATTCAGATAACTGAAAATCTGAGAGACAGGCATGGTGGCCCATGCCAGTGACCCCAGCATTCTGGAGATGGGAAACTGAGGCAGGAAGAGCTAGGTGTTGAAATGTGTCAGACAAACAAACAAAAGTAGCCATACAGAGATCATCTGCATCCAACTATTCCCAAGACTTTTCAGTAGAACACTATTCTGGAAGAATTATTCCACTGACTCATTATTTAAAGTTTTTGGCCTGTGATTCTTTATTCTTCCATTTGGAGTATTCCTTTTCCAGGAATGGAATTATTTCTTGTTGTTGTGCTTAATTTTTTTCCTTCCTCTACTCAAAATACAAGATTACTTTGTTTCCTTAAAAACTTTTAAGACTTTTGTTGTTGTTTGGTGTTTTGAGACAGGATTTCTGTGTAGCCTTGGCTGTCCTGGACTCATTTTGTAGACTTGGCTGGCCTCAAACTCACAGGGATTCGCCTGCCTCTGCTTCCCTGAGTGCTGCGATCAAAGGCATGAGCCATGCCACCATACCCAGCTACTTGTAAGATTTTTAATTGTTAGGTAACCATTAAATTTTTAAAAATAATGTTCACGTTCTTTTTGTAGGGTTTTGTTTTGTGGTTTGGAAGAGTCCTGTGTAGCTCTGTCTGCCCTTGAACTCCCTATCTGGGCAAGGATGACCTTAAACTCCTTGTTCTCCTTTTTACCTCATAAGTGTTAGAAGTGTATGCATCATACTTAGTTTTCTATCTGGCTGTCTTTCACTAACTCACTCTCACTCTGTGCAGATTCTATTTTAAAAACCTGTGTCTTCTGGTGTTCAGTCCCAAAGCGTCCTGCCAATAGGAAATCATTTTTAAGTTAGTATTTCTAGTAAGCACTTAGTGTTAAAATATTTAAAATCACTTGATGTCAAAGTCTGTCTGTTAAATTTGCAGTAACATAGTGGTAACAGCTTATATTGCATACTGAGCTATTATTTGTTCTTGTTCAGCAGTACTGGAGAGCCAGCTCCAGGCCTCTTGCTGTACCACTGAGCTC